GATAAATTGATACTTTAGCATTAGTTTCTTCTAATGAATCTGATAAATCTAATGAAAAAAATTTGATAAGTAAGGTGTAGCTTTATTTTAAAAAGAACAAAATCAAATAAGTTGGAAGATATAAAGTAAATATACTTGGTAAAAATGGATATGAACAATATAGAAAAGAGGTAAATCTCAATACTGCAAAGTCAACAGGGAATTTTTGGTATTATTTTAAAATAGTACATAGTATTACTAAAGACAACATTAATAATATATCAAATATTGAACATAATCAAATAAGTTTTATTCATAAGTGAATCTTGAATAATAAGATCATATCTTTTATATATAAGGATCAACAACCTCTTTCAGTAATTGCGGATGATAGATTTATTGAATTAATAAAGGAAGCAATTCCTAATTATAAACTTCTATCTAAAAAAGCTATAAAAATTTTGTTGTCATAAGCATTTATGCATACAAAGCAACAGCTTATAGATAAACTTTTAGAGTTACTTTTTTATAGTTTATTAACAACTAATTTGTGGATGGCATGGTCAAAAAATAAATATATTAGAATTACCTGTTCATATTTGGATGAAAATTTTAAATTAAATGAATTGTTTTTAGCTCTTAGATATTTACTGTATTCACATATGAGTAAGTCTATTGCAAATATAGTAGATGATATTATTAATAAGTAGAATTTAGATGAATGAATTTTTTGTGTTATTACTGATAATAGAAGTAACATGATTAAGGCAGTATAGTTCTTACCTGAATTAACTCGAATACTATGTACTGCATATACTTTACAGCTTGTACTTAGAAAAGAGCTTATTCCTTATGAAATACTTGTTGCTCGAGCTAGGAGGTTGATTAATTTTTTTATGAGCCCAAAACAAAGTGAAAAGTTAGAACAAGTTCAATTAAAAATAAACATGTTTGAAGACCAGGTGTATTTATTTATATTAGCAATTAAAAAAAAATTAATATTATGTATATATTATTTTATTTGTTAATTAATTAGTTAACTAATTATAATACTATTATTTTTTTTAGATTTTACACAAAACAGATTGCTATTTGTAGCTTATTGCTGATACAAAAACTCAATAGAACTCATTGTATCTTGTATGGGAAAGATTAATAAAATTACGATCTGCAATAATATAATGATTAGTATACTTGAAACAGAAACTAATCATAAATCAAAATGAGAAGTAAGACAACTTAAAAAAATTAATTTAACTAATGCTGAGTGGGATACTATTAAAGATTTTTTTCCTGTATTAAAACTATTCACTGATGCAATAGAATTTTTAGGAGGAAGCAATTATTCAACAATTAGTTTTATATTTTATGTAATTTCAATTTTAGCTTCTGATCTTGCATTAGATACTGTCAATAATTCAGTAATGATCAACTTTGAATTAAGTGCAACTGCATTTAATAATAATATTATTTATGAGGATGCAGATGAGGAAATAGATGAGATAAACAATGGAACTCAGCGAATTCGGATTAATACACCCAAAAATTGTGATAGGCTTATTAAACGAATCAAAACTGCTTTAAATAAAAGCTTGCATCATTATTATTCAGTTCCTTCTGAAGTTGGCATGCTAGCAGCATTGTTGGATCCCCAGTGTAAATCACTTAATTTTGTTTCTGAAAATAAAAAATTAGAAATGATGAATATATTAAAAAATATAGTTGCAAACTTACAATCTAATCATGAAGAATTTCAACAAATAACTAAAAGTGATAACTCACTTATTACTCAAATATTTCAGCTACATTATCCTTGAATTGATAAAGTAACTGATTATTTTGCTCAAGCAGAAATTTCTTCAATATATAATCCTTTTAACTGGTAGAAAAATAATCAAGAGAGGTTTTCTACAATTATCAAGTTTGCTCGCAAATACCTTTCTATTCCTAAAACATCAACATCTAGTGAACGTCTTTTTTCATATACCAAGAATATCATGTCTTCAAAATATACTAATCTTAAACCACAAGTATTTAAACAGCTTATTTTTTTAAAAAGAAATTACAATTTAGTTAATGATATATTTCCAAAATAATAAAGTTCAAGGCTATAACATATTTCTGAAGTAATGAAGTTCAAGACTAATGCATTGTAAATATCTCATATTATAATTTTATTTCATGCTTATTATTTTTAAATTTCATAAAAATTTAACATATTTTTAGTAGTTATCAATAAATAATTGATGAAATTGGAATGTGAGTTAATTAAAAAACCTCAAATTGCTTAAGAATTCTTATTATTATTGTT